TGCATCCCCCTAGCCTGTCCCTGTAACCCTGCATTTTCCATGGCTAATGCACCTCACCTAGGCATCCCTGAACACTCAGTAATTTGGCATAGCCAATCCACCTAACTGGCACATCTTTGGACTGTGGGAGGAAACCTGAGCACCTGGTGGAAACCCACACAGACACGGGGAGAATATGCAAACTCCACACAGACAGTCGCCTGAGGGTGGAATCAAACCCAGGTCCCTGGCGCTGTGAGGTAGCAGTGCTAACCACTGAGCCATCGTGCCACCCCCTGAGCTACTACAATTGGCTTCAATGTCTTTCAGACTCAAGAAAAAAATTAGCAACGAAACTAGATTCCTGGTTTTGAGTACTAATCACTTAATTCTTCCATAGGACAGGGTTTTTAAAAAAATACTACTTTGCAAGATGTCGGGATCATATTTAACATTCATCCTATTGGTTTTTTTTTATACTGCTAAATGGTTTGCTGGAGACTTAGCAAGGTCATTAAGCTGTTCAGGCTGGTGTGGATTCACATGTAGGTCAGACCAGGTAAGAGTGGCGTCACAACTCCAGGAATAGTGGGGCTCGATTTCCAGTGCACTACCTCAAAGAGTCGTCACAAAAGTCAAAGATTTTAAAATAAGTACACAAAATTTCCCAATTTACTTGATTTTCAGATCCAGGTGTTAGAAGTAATTAGACTCTAGCTACAAGTAAACAGTTATAAACTGTTGCCATATATCACTGCAAATTAAAACTCTAATCCTCTTATAAACTGCCCCCCACCCTTTTATTACACACTCATGGAAAAATAGGTTATGGGTGAAGGAAGGCTGAAGGCAGTTCAGTGGTTCCTGTTCTTGTGTTGCAGAGATGATCTTTATGAACATTATGGTGGTCAGTACATTGCTGTTGGCACAATGTTTACCATCAGTGTCATAAGTTATTTACTTTTCACAACATGCAGCAATCCTCGAAAGAACTGTTTTAAAACCAGAGTTTTCTCACTTCAACCCACAACTTTAAAAAAATTTTTTAAAAATTACTGTCTTAGTAGCATGGAAGAGGTCTCCGATAGATGCAGCATTTTCCTTCACGCGTCAGCCTAGAAATGGCCTAATTTATTGATTTCATTTTTACAATATATAAAACAAAATAACTGCGGTTACTGTATATCAGAAACAAAAGCAGAAGTTGCTGGAAAGGCTCAGCAGGTCTGACCCTTCTGAGGAATGTCAAGTTTGGTTTTTCTTCACTGATGCAGCCAGACCTGCTGAACTTTTCAGCAATTTCTGTTTTTGTTTCATTTTAACCAGTTGCCTTGAGGGTTGAACTCCCAACCTTGGGCTACAGCTACTGCAGTACACTAGCCTGTTAACCTAGATACAGTCAAATCATGCTAGGCCCAAGTGTGAAGGATACAATTTATGTGAGTTACAAGAGGGGCGCTGATTCCCAGGACACTGCAACAAGAGTCTGGAAGGAGCTGAAAGGAAAATAAACCAACCATTTTTAAAATTAAATTCCTAGTCCCTTTTATAAATTGTGGCTACAGCATCATAGCATATTCATTGAGTATTTGTCATATCAGCAGATACTTCATCTGTATCAGAGGAAAGGGGAAAAGGAGTGAGAATGGATGGGAGCCCTACCTTATCTTGCCTGTCTCAACCAGACATCAGCGTGGCCCGTATTTCCTCACCTTGTTATGCTCATCAAGTTGTTGTGGGTTTCCTCATGACAGCATGTGATGTGCAGTGACAGGCTCAACAAATGTCTATTTCTGCTGTTCATTCAGTTGGGTTTAGCATTAAAGTGTAAATATGGGACTCATTCACCTGCTTGCGAGGCAGCACCAGATAACCATCTTACGCCCTGCTGTGGCGGGAGCCTGTTGATGTTTCAGTGACTGCTGTTTCAGATTGACTAGATTGCATATCGAGGAAATGGCTGTTCAAATTACACAGGGGCAAGGGATGGGAGGCACGGCCGAAGCTTGATATGGGATGTGGTCCATTACCAAACTTGAGACAATTCAGAATATAAACCAATCGTCAAATTCCTAAACTTAGCTGTTGAATGTATGTAATTCTGTTCACACGATTTTAACTTAAAAAATCAGTTTACCAGCCATAAAGCATCCAGCTTGGCTACCGACAATGATGTCATCGTCAATCTTTTAAAAAGTACTTGGATGAGCATTTCAAATATCATGAAATTTAAAGCTATGGGCCAAGTGCTGGAGAGTGGAACTGATGTAGACTTAAGAATTTTTTTGACAGTGCAGACTTGATAAGACAAAGGGCCTCTTCTGCACTGTATGCTTCCGTTATTATCTCCTTACTTTGATGTTCACCATGCTGTCGAAGAAGGAATGGTTGCACAAAAAATATGAAATGGCTCATCAATTGAATTGCAAATACGACAGTGTAAGTGGCAACTGTGCCATGCATCAGGCTAGGCCAGTACTGCCCTTTTGAAAATAGAACAGCATTTGAAAACAGTAGCAGGATTGGACAGAGTCAGCATGAATTTATGAAAGGAAAGTTATGCTCGACAAACCTATTAGAATATTTTGAGGCTAAAACTATAAAGTTGATAAGTGGGAAGCAGGGGATGTGATTTACTTTAAATTTCAGACAATAAGGCTCTAATTAAGAGATTAGCATGTAAAATTAAAAGTGCACGGGATTGAGGGTAGTGTACCAACCTGTATATTGACAGGGTACCAATAGAGTACAACCAGCCCTATAGTCCTCTGGGACTTTGGTGAATTTACTTAACTGACATGGATGGAGATTGGCTGACAGACAGGAAACAAAATAGGAATAAACGCGTCATTTTCTAAGTGACAATCAGTGAACAGTGAAGTATTGAAGGGATCAGTGCTTGGACCTCAGCTGTTCACAATATATCTTAATGATTTAGATGACAAAACTAAATATAATGTCTCCAAGATTGCAGACAGCACAAGGCTGGGTTGGAAGGTGAACGACGGAGTTGCAGAGATTCACTGTGATTTGGACAAGTTGAGTGAATGTTGATAAATGTGAGGTCATCCACAGAAACAGGAAGGTGGCTTATTATCTGGCAATAGTTTGGGAAAAGGGAATGTGCAACGACACCTGGTTGTCCTTTTCAACCAGTCACTGAAAGTAAGCATGCAGGTGTGGTGGGCAGTGATGATGGCAAATGGTATGTTGGTCTTCGTAGCTTGATGATTTACTGCAATTGTACAGACCCTGGTGAGACCACACCTGCGGTATTGTGTGCAGTTTTCGTCTCCTTATCTGAGGAGAATGTTCTGGCTGTGGAGGGAGTGCAACAAAAGTTTACCAGACTGATTCCTGCGATGACAGGACTGATGTATGATGAGACTCCAGATCACTTAACTTTGGCTTGAGTTTAGAAGATTGTGGGTGGGGTGGATCTCATAGAAACCAAAAAAGTTTCTCACAAGCCTATACTTTATAATCACTGGAAGGACGCTCCCGATAAGAAGCCCAGAAGCAGGAGTCACAGTCTAAGGATGCAAGGGTAGGCTATTTAAAACTGAATTAAAGAGAAATTTTTTCACCACAGAGTGGTGAGACTGTGGAATTCTCTGCCACAGAAAGCAGTTGAGGCCGAAACATTAAATGTCTTCAAAAAAGAGCTAGGTATTGGCACAGTCATACAACTAAAAGAATCAGACTGTGTGGGGCGAAAGCTGGAGTAGGATAATCAGCCATGATCATGCTGAATGGTGGAGCAGAGCAGAATAGCATACTGCTGTTCCTATTTCCTTTATTTCTTCCAATTTCACCTACAACATGAGACAAATTCTTCAAATTGGAGATACTCTAGAGAGGTGACAGGATAATAACTATTTCTAACCACATCACTATCTTCCTTACAGTCACGAGACGAGAGAGAGAGAAGGCAATAATAGAGTAGGTTAGGGCTGCCTGACTGTGTGAGCTCGTCTCCACACCTCAGTAATGGGTATACAAACAAGGAATAAGAGTGGACCGCTTGGCCATACAATAAGATCATGGCTGATCTGATTTTAACTTCAACTCTATGTTCCTACATATTCCTATAATCTTTAATCCCCTTGGTAATCAAGAATCTGTCTACCTCTGCATTAAATATATTTAAAGATCTGCATCCACTCCATAGCCACCTTAAAATCTTCATTGTCACAATTTGTCAGTTCATCCAAAATTCTTCATTAAATGTTGGCCGCAGTCTCTTATTCTTTTGCATGTCTCGTGACTGAAATAATTCAGGTGATGCATTTAATATTAGCTGTGAAATAATTGTCATTTCCATTTTTCTCCTCTAAATGTTTGGTATACTTAAGAGGAGAGTCACTAAAGGGCAGCTAACAGTCCTGCATTGAGCCCTGGCTCTCAAATTGCCAATTTCTAGTTGAAACCTGGCTGAGGAATTTGCCTCTTGTAGTAGGAAGTGGAGATAAAAGACAGAATTGGACCCCCATATCCAGTCTTGTGACATGGGTTGCATTAAAGTCAGCCTACCCATTTCTCCTACTCTCAACTCTCATTATCACTTATTCAGTCTGTCTCTCTCCCTCTCTCTCCCCGTCTGGGCTCCATCTCCACCTATCCCCTCACCCCAACCCTTTTTTCAGCACAAGTACCATTTTTCCGAGCTGCTGTCCATTCTGATGAAGAGTCACTGGACTCCACACATTAATTCTGCTTTCTTCCCACAGATGCTGCCAGACCTGCTGAATTTCACCAACAATTTGTGTTTTTTTTTTTAGCAAAATTGGGCTTTGCTGACATTTGGCGCAGTTTCTAGCACCTACTAAATGCTCAGACATGAATAGTAGCCACACGACTGAGGTACTGGAGAGGGTGTCACCACCCATGGAAACTGTAAGCTGCAGGGAAATGAGCTGTGCTGCTTTTAGTCCAAATACAAATCAGCACTGCTTCTGATGCACTGCTTTCCTGTGACAATTGTGTGATTTTTTTTTTTTTTTTCTCTATTTCATTTACAGGTTTATTCTCCTCGCTTGTGATGGATTATTCAAAGCGTTCACCCCAGAGGAAGCTGTTCTGTTTGTTTCAGCAATACTTGAGGTACAGTTTGCTGGTGTATCAGTGGTGTTTTCTCCTTAGGTGAATTGTGTAAAGCTTACCTCCATTCAGTATATATCCCACTAGACTGCTTACTGAACAGCTTCAGCTGTGTTCTGAGAACAAGGTTTTCCCAGTCCACCAGCAACATTCCTTTCTGGGCCACTGCCAGATCGCTTCCTGACTGAGCAGCGAGTGCTCCCCGAACCCGCCGCTCGGGTCTTCCCACTCACATTGCATTTTAATTCTACCTCATCCAGCTGCAGCATTCCTCTTGGCAAGAGCCTGATGGCTCCCATAAACAAGACTGAAATAAAAATATCAAAGAACATGCAATGAAGCTTGACACACTTGCTGAACATAGCCTGCCAAGTGACATTTCTCCGAGGGAGAGCTGATCCATGGTGTGTGAAGTTGGGGAAAATCGGTGAGAGTAAACGGGTGATCTTTATTCCATTTCTGTCGGTGGGAAAGGCGATACACCGTGGTGTGTAACAGGCAGGCCTGTTCAGTATTAATCCCATCTTATAACTTGGTTGAAGATTAATTTTACTGGTACAGTGTTTGCAAAGGATCAACTGTCACTATAAAAGGCAATTGTGGACAGGGTTGGCCTAGACGTTGTGATCAGAATGGAGTCATGCATTTTCTATTACAAACATACCAAAATGACATGCAAGAAGTGAGCAGCTGCTCCACTGAGCCAGCCCCATGCTCCTCATGCCACCAAGATCATGACCAATGTTTCCTGTAAACTGTGCAAGTGCAATAATCTGAAAGTTCCTGTGCAGAAGTCGGTCACGTTAAAACAACGCGAAAAATTACACAAATCTCCTGTCCGTTAATCTAGCATATATATAATACTTTTTAAAAAATCACAGGGTACATTGCTGATGACTTCCCTCACCTGCCATCCATTGGCACGTTGTTTCCTAGGAGAGATGAGAAAAGGCAGGGACAAAAAGATGGATAATGTTCTGGCTGACTGTTTCAGGTACATGGGTTCCAAGGACACCTAGCTCTCTACATTAGTTTATAAAGTTATACATACTCCTTATGTCCAACACCCATTGTGAATTTGTCCAGCATCCTCATATGCACAGCAGGAGTCACTGGACAGGCAGGAATCTCTAGAAAGGCCACACCTTTGAAGAGGGTAATAAGTTCCATCCATTTCACAGCCACGGTGTTCTGGTGAGGCAACCGAAGGAGGAGGATCCCCCTGGGGTTTTCATCCAGAATTGCATGGTTCATTTTGTCCAGCAGTAACAGTTGGCGAGTGTGTACCCTACTCCTCCAAATCCACAGAAGGTTCCAAACTGGCCCCCCAGGAGTTTTCTAGTCTTGGGCTTGTCTGTATCAACTGCTTACCTGAGTTGTAAACCTCAATAACCTCAGTCGGGTGGTTTTTGTGTCAACCCACAGGACAAGACTCTGACTGCAAGGCCAGGGAAGTCCGCGCAGGACGTGCAGTTTGAAACGGCGTGTAACAGACTGGCCAGTGAGGCAGTCCGCCGGGGCTCTGCGGATAATGTCACCATCATTTTGGTAGCCATCATGCACTGACATGAGGACCTTGCCTCCACGAGAATATCTCGCAGGTGAATACAGGTGTCCAGGAGGATTTGCCAACCTCAAAAAGAAAAGATGAGACAACCTCAGGACACTTCAAAAATTTGAAAGTAAAATGCATATCTTTATTTCCTTACTCCACTCATCTGATCTTGTCGAATTGCCACTCTGCCACTGACCAACACTCCTAAATTTAAACTTCTATGCGCCTGACCACAGCAGAGATCCTTTTTTTTTAAATTGTGTCTCCAATAACCCAATGGTAGAACTGCTGCCTCCTCTGTTTAGTGAACTGAATCAACTTTTTTTTTAAGAAAAAACTTGTTTTCACCATTCAATCATATGGCAACACAACTGACTTGGCAACATTTCTCTATATCCATTGGTGTTGGAATGCTTGATACTTGCATGGATAGAAGGGGCATGGAGAAAGCTGGATTCCCCATACACAGACTGTCTCAGATAAAAGCTACCACAGGCAAGTGGTGGTTTTGAGAAATAACATGCAGAACCAGATGCCAGGGAAGAGTTTTAAGGTCCTCCATGAACATCCCAAACTGTAATGTGTGGAAGCTTTTAATGAGTTCAAGGTTTCATTTTATTTACTCCTGTTGTTGCCTTGTTTGTTCATGCTGGTGTTGAGGTCTGTGTGTTAGTGGAAACCTAGTTAAAGTTGTTTCTTTTCCAAATGTTTTGCTGTAACATCTCATTTGAATACAAGCATTGACATATAATTTTGTCTTGAACACCTTCTAGTGGTGGCTCCTGTTCAGTGCCTCGTCTTGCAGAAACAGACATGAGGATAGTTGCCCAGACCCTAATTACATTATAGTACATGATGAAGTAAAATTGGGCAGTAGTGAGACGATGAGGGAGTGCACTATCTCTTGGGTGTTTTCATAATCCACCTTTTTATTCCACAAAAGTTAATTTTTTAACAAAACAAAGTTCTCTTTCTTTCTGCTCATGGAGGCCTGCTGCTTCGTCTTGTACAGGATGGGATTATGACTTTTAACATTAATAGTAGATTAGCAGCCGTGACTACAGAGTGACTGAACTCCACTTTATTTCCAGCTGTATAGAATCGAAGAGTAATGCAGCACAGAAGGAGGCCATTCCAGCTCGTTGAGCTGGCAATGACTCTTTCACGATCAATCCAGTCAGTTCTCTTTCCCCAGCTTCCCTACAGATTTTCTGAAGTGTTTTCCATTTCCATTGTGAAGGCTAGAGTCTTATCTGTGTCCACCAATCCCTGTCTATCAGGCAGTGTATTCTAAATCCTAACCAGTTACTGCATGAGAAAATGTTCCCCATTACCTGTTGTTCCTTTGCCTTTAATCTCTGTCAGCTGGCTTTCAAATCTTCAGTCATTGGAACCAATTTATATTTACTATTCCACCGAAACATTTCTTGCAAATCTCGTCTTAGTCTTCACTGCTCTAAGGGGAGAAATCTCAATTTGTCTCGTCTACGCGCACAACTTTAAACGCTTATCCTTTGAACCATTTTCAGAAACCATTTTTGTGACCCCTCTTCATTGTTTCTAATTCTTTCCAGTCTTGAACTTGACCAGTTTTTGTGGCCCACTTACTTTACATGACTGTGTTTCAGTTGCATTTATACAGTGCCCCTAGTTCAGTAGCAGCACACCAAGCCTTTGGTTGATGGCTTTTTGGCGAATTTGGCAATTGGAGCATGTGTCAAGGTCAGGAGTGAAAAAAAATTCCACATCATAGAATCGCAGAGTTATTGTGGTACAGAAAGAGACCATTCAGCCCATCATGTTTGCACTGGCTCTCTAAATATGTTAAAATTAGTGTCAATCTGCTGCCTTTTCCTTGTAACTTTGCATAGAAATGAATTTTAACTTACTGGATATGCAAGTACACCGCTGCTAGAGGATAATTTTAAAACAGACCCTCTTGCCTCTGATCTATTTCAGACAGGGCCTCAGAACAAGCACCAATGAATGATCCTTACAGGCAAGCTGAGAGGACAGCCTTTATGCCATCAATAATCAATGAACACTGGGTGTTCCTGGTGGTCACTGTTTCAGAGGCAAGGGGAGTCTCAGAGCTTTCTCCTCTGGCCTCCACACTCCCACCACCACCCAGGTCATGAGAAGCTGTCTGCTTCTGTGGTACCAGGACAGTTACTGTTTACCTGACAGGGTTGGCTCTTGAATTTGGGACCAGCATTAGATCTATTAGGGAAATTATGTGCGAGTTCCACATAAGACCAGGTCAAATAATTTATGTAAATGAAAGCAAAATACTGAGAGGGCTGGACATCTGAATAAAAACAAAGGCTAGAGAAGCTCAGCAGGTTTGGCAGCAACTGGAGAGAGAAACAGAATAAAGTAGGAATGACCCCAACCATCCAGTTGCTTGTTGTTTCAATAAACCACCTTGCTCCCATGCTGACATTGACAACCTTGTCCTGCTGCAGTGTTCCGATTAAGCTAAACACAAGCTTTATAGTCTTTTAGACTCAATTTTGAGTTCAGAGCATTGTCTCTTGTGCTGTATTTTTCTGACATCCCCTGATCTTCCCTGGCTGTAACTTAATTTGTTTTGTTCTTAGCAAAGCTAGCCCCATTTTCTCCTTTTCATAGCTAACATTTACAGCTGTTATAGCTTTGTCTCTTGCTCTAGACACCACCAGTGTATCCCATTTGCTCCTCCTCCCCCACACCCACCCGCACCCCCATTCCCACTCCCAGCCCGATTTCCCCACATCTACAGCATAAATACAACCACTTACCATCCATTTTCAGTTCTGAACGTGGTTTATATTGGACTCAAAACACTAACTCTCTTCTGTCTCCAAAGTTGCTACCAGACCTGCTGAATTTCTCCAGCACTTTGTTTTTATTTCAAATAATCCACTTTCTGGTCATGAACTGATTCAGTGTTTTTACAGAGTTTTCTAACGATGTTTGTTTGAATGCCAAATGGTTTTTGCTGATATTCTGCAGAACTGAGTGGGAACTGTTGTTACTGTTGCACATTGCCCTCTAATACTTGTTTGTTCATTTTGCTAAATATCAACCCTGCCTTCTCTGTGTTAGATTGTGTAGTATTGATTTTTACAATAGTCTCCCCCCACACTGTTATGCAGATACAGATGTTTGCACCGTACACTACCCCTACCTGCCTACTTTGATAGAGTTGAGTCGAAAGTGCTTCAGTTTAAAAATAACATGATCTCAGGACCTTAACTATTACCATCTGTAGTCAGAACACAAAGCCATCGTCATCATCATCATCATCTTGTGTCATTTGACTAGCAATAACAAAATAAATAGGATGTCTCAGATTTTTATGGTAGATCTTCTCACTCAGCCCTTGCTCTCAAAAGTGTTTGTGGACATGAATATATGTGGATTGAAGGAAAGCAATAATTTTAAAGCTGTTTCTGTCACTGAGATTACAGCTTTTTATCACTGCACTTGAGGCATTAGACTGTGGATTGTAAGCAGTCACCTACACATGTCGTTATGATATACAACAATAATACCAGCACAGTACACACATTCACAAGTCGAGTGGAATGATTTCCAGTAGCTTTTCACAACTGCCTCATCCCTGCAGTTTGTCACATATGGTGTCAAATATTTCCTGGTTGGATTCACTTTGATAACTTCTTTTTTTTTTCATAATTTCAGGGTAGCTGTATATCTATGTAATAGATACTTAACTGGGAGTTTCTCCAAACCTTTAGTTCAGCTTCTTCATTTTAATGAATGATCACATTTCATTATTGAATTCGGGACCCAGAGGGTTTGGCATGGGAACCACATGTTTCAGAAGGAATGACACCGGCAAAGGCATTCTCTTGTAAGAGCAGGATTTTGCCATTCTGATGCTAGCTGATCCGCAAGGGTGCCTAAGTTGTGGGTGATAGAGTCTTGGGACTGAAGCCCAGTTCTTTTAATGCATACCCTTTTTCAGTTGTAACTCTACAACGATGTGAATCATCTGCACAATTTACAGAATTTGTGGTGTTTAGGGGACCTGTTGAGAAATGTGTAAAAACTATTGCACTGTCTGCTGTCATGGATTTTTCTTTAGTATGATTAAATGACACTGCCACACCCCCCCCTCCCCACTCCCCGCCCCCGGGGGTGCAATCTGGTAGAATGAATATATTGTACAAGTGATGTGCCAGAGAGTAGTGCAGAAGGCAGACAGCATGTATTGTGCATGCTCTTGTCTAATAATACATTGAAATGAAACTTGATCTTACAAAGAAACCTGTAGCCTGACTTGGAACCAGCAAAGCAATTATATTTTATAAATCTACCCATACTCCCCTAAACCACCTGCATTATTTCACATGGTATACCACTAGTTAGCAACACATTGACACGGTTTTAGAAAGGCTGTATTCACATAGACGGATTACATAGTTAGAGATATTATGTAACGTTGAGATCTGTACCTCAGCTACATTGCATATCTCATGGAGGAGATAACTGTAGAAATTGCTCTCCTAGTTTAAGTCATTCAATATTCTTGGCATTTCTGGCTTGTAGCATTTTTGATGTATTTTGATAGTGAAAAGCATTTGATTGTGAAAGACATTTCATGCAAAAGATTTCATGCACAATCCTGTCCATGTTCTCTCTTTCACCTATACACATTTAGCAATATATATCATTATCCAGCCACTGCCGCTCTAGTGCAAGTTGAGAAACACTAGATCTATGACATACATATGAATGTACATTATTTCATTCCACTGGATTACTTTGGAAAGGTTTGGAAGGGTGCTTGACAGAACTTAGATGTGGGACATGGCTTGGTGATGTATCATTGATCCATTCTGCCTCTAACACGAGAGGTCATCTGAAGTGGAAATATAATCAGAATTTCACTGTGCTTCAGTATTTATCCTATGTAAGAACAAGGGATTCATGATGGATGCTAGTTTATTTTCTATTTCACCCCACCCACCTCAGTTTTCCAGGTAATGATTTCGGAAAAGCGTATTTAGGCAGTGACATATTCTTTTGTATTTGTGCTAGAAGGGAAATTCAGCATTACTGTGCGACCAATCATGAGATGCTGCTTAGTTTTAGTTGTGATCTTGTGTCACACTATCATTCAGAACCTTTCACCTCTAGTACCCTCAACATTTTTATTTGTGATTTCTAGAAACTTTAAAAATTATCATTAGCTAACACACAGACTTTAACCTAGCCATCCCTTTGATAATAGTTATCATCCCATGATGTTGTAGAACTTTATATTACACTGCTTACTGTTCAAGTTTAGGGGTTAGAGTAGGCTTAGTAGGTGCAGAGGTCAGTCAGGGTTTAATTTCTGTTTGACAAAGGGAACTTGAAGATTTCCAATGTAAAATTTCAACTCCAGCGAAATAAAAAAAACTAAGAAACGACTGATTTTCTCTCTGCCTTGGTGCGCTTATGACATTTGAAATGTGATATGTGGCACAATTTTTATATGGGCAATAAATTATTCCAAAATTAACTATAGTGGACCCATTGGGTGAGAGATGAAGGAGGTTAGCCCTGTTTGAGCCTCCCACTAACCATACAACCATAGGAGCTACTGGGTGAAGTACTGCCTAACACGTTCTAATGTTAATCTTAAAGTTGCCTCATGTAACTTAATTTTCTATATGTATGTATGTGTGTGTGTATGGTGTTGCAGGGGTGTTGTAGGCAAGAAAGTAGAGTTCAGACCACAATCAGACCAGTCATGATCTTAATAAATGGTGGAACCATCTCAACAGGCTTAGTAGCCTACTGTTCCAATTTTAACATCTTAGGGGCAGCTTCACTCAACACCCACCCCATAACTGTTTGCGTAGATTGCTTTATAGTATCACCCACTTAAATGCACCAAAGGTCATCAGTTGTGATGGGAATACAAAAGTGTTCCTGCCATTTTGGGCAATTTTTATTGTATAGATTGATTTTGCTTTCATTTCCTAGGCCTAGTAGTGAGAGTTGAGAGGGTCACTGAGATATTGCAGGCAGGAAACAAAGGCAAAAGAGAACCAGTTCCTTGGGTTTTGACGCAGGCTTATTTGTTCCTTTTATTTTCACAGCACTAATTCCATATTCATAGTTACATCAGATGGAATTTTCTTGCAAAACAGTAGAGAAATAAAGGTGTGAAACAAGTTATCTTTTGCTATGAATATGTCTTGTATGGGCATTCCATCTCACTCTGCTCTATGAGCTACTGCTCCTGATGAATGTTGTTGCTACCACTGTTTTCTTTTAAGCCTAGGAAACAACAGGGCCTGCTTAATCTAATGTGATCAAGGAAAACTTCTTGGTCTAACTAGAAGAGTGTCCTATGGTTAACAAAAATGTGTTTGTTACACTTTAGCATTTAGTTACCTGTTACATTTTTATGATGGTCCTTATTACAGAAACTATGAGGAGTTATAGGTCTCATTTCTTTAGGGTCCTAAGCTGTTCTCAAACAGGTCCACATGACATCATCATGTTAGATGGTGCTTATGGCACTCCTCAGTATTAACCCTTTCAGAATCATATTAATGTCCATTCTGTTCTAAGTTCTGAGGAAGGGTTACTGAACCCAAAACGCGAACTGATTTCTTTCCACAGATGCTGCCAGACATGTCTGTTTTTGTTTCCATTCTGTCTGTCTGCTGTGGCACCCAATGCAGGAAGAGAAGTTGGTTGCAAATAAAATCTTTTTTGTGAGGAAGGTCTGTCGTATGTGTTGAGGTAGCAGCTAAGTTATGGCAGAGCATTATATCTAGAGACTTCCTGTCCCTTGACTGCCAAGTGGGTTCCTTATAATAAAACAAAAAGCAATAACCCAATAGCAATTTGTGGGGTTGGGGGCTGGGACCTGCCAAATTTCTAACTTGCCCCTCACTCTGCCAATTTTACTTAGTTTAGATGCAGTGAATGGCCTGAGTTCTTGTGTATTAAGAATGTTTCTTTGGGTGTTGGGAGCTTCTGGTTTGATGCTTTGCAAAAGTAACATTCGCTGTAACTACTGTGGTGGAAATTAAATGCATGTTCCAGGCCCAGAAGCAGTGGAAAACTGAATTTTGACTCTGTTCCGCATTTGTCCTTGCCCCATTTTTCCATTGGACTTGCACAAACCTCGTTAGTACAATTGCTTGTGCCATTGCCCAGGCATTTCAGTATGTTTTTACAGTTAGACCAAGGCCAGCATTGCACGTGTGCCCTTGAAAGCGGCAGAAAAATGCAGTTGTGCAGATGCTTAGCCAGTAGAAGTTTCTAACATGTCCACCCTAAACTCTTATTGAGGCTACTTTGTGTTTTGGGGCTTGGTTTTGGCTTGTTTTACACCACTGCTGCTTTATTAAATCATATTTCTTCCTATTTGCTGTACTTAAACTTAAGTTTGGACTGCTACAATTTGGTGCTTTCCTTGATAGAGGCTGTCTTCCTTATCCCCTGGTTTTTAGTTTCTCCCTGATATCTTCATGCTTTAAATGTGAAGTATAAATACAGATCCTCTTGTCCAGGCATTCCCAAAATAGCAGACAGAGGAGATAGGAACAGGAGTAGACTATTCAAGCCTGATCCACCATTCAGCTAGATCCAGACCAATCTATGTTTTAACTCTATCTCCTGCTTTAATGAAAAGCTCAGTCTTGTAAATTTCAATTACACACACCATCCATAGCCTTTGGAATCAATAGCTTCAGATTTCCACGATGTTCACGTGAAAGGTGCTCCCTGATTTCAGTCCTAAATGACCTGGCTCTAATTTTAAGACTATGCCCCTTTGTTTTAGATTACCCCCACCAGCAGAAAGTTTATCTATCCTTTTGAATCCACGGAATCACTGTCACCATGTGTTTCCGCTCCATAACATACCTGACTTTGCTCCAGTCCCAGCTTTTGTTACCTCAAGACTTCACCAGTCCAACACAATTCTAGCTAGTCTCCCAAATTCTATCCCTCATAAAACTTGATTCACTGCATCTAAACTAAGTAAAATTGGCAGAGTGAGGGGCAAGTTAGAAATTTGTCAGGTCCCAGCCCCTAACCCCACAAATTGCTATTGCATTTTTGCTTTTTGTTTTAATATAAGGAACCCACTTGGCAGTCAAAGGATAGGAAGTCTCTAGATATAATGCTCTGCCAAAACTTGTTCAAAACTCCGATGCTCATCTCTTAGTTGTTCCATGCCTCATACCCCTATCAGCCCTATGCTTATTGACTTACATTGGTTCCCAGTCAAACAACAGGAATAGGAATTCAACAGATGATGGCAGAGTGGAAATTTCCGGGAAAGTCCATATTGTGGAGTTTCGGTCAACAATATGCATTTGATACTGGTGTGTGGATGAATTGGGATTGCTATGGTTGTCACTCATCCTAGCACTAATGCACAAATGAAAAAGTTCTGCAGTCTAAACAAATAATTTTCTATCCAACCTTTTTCTGTGATTGTTCACTGTAGAAGGGTTTGGTGAGTTTGAATCTTAGAAAAGCAGACCTTTTGTTTCTTTGGAGTTTTGTAAGGAAAATGCCTCTGACCGTTACCATTCATGAATTGCTGAGCTTGGTTCCACCCATATCAGGGGCATTGTTTTAAATCACAAGTGGCATTTTTGTTTGGTCATGTTTTCAGAAAATTTTGAAATTGTTGCCGTATTGAGGGTACAATGTGGTTTTTGTTTTTTCTAAACCCATCTTCCCAAAGACACATCTTATTCTTTTATATAGACGTATAGTAGCAGTAAACTTTCTCACTCATCGTGTTATGGTGCAAACATGAAATGAGCAGAATGCCTTTTGTTCTAGCTATATCAGATGGACAAATGAATTGAGACTTACTGAGCAGTGTAACATCCCTAACTGTAAAAGGGCCCTGAGTAGTTTTGGATTGGCTTCTTTAATGGAGGCTATAGATTGGTAACCGTGGCATAATGGTGATTCTAAAATCTCATTGTACAGCATCGGAGGGAACTTAAAACTGCAGTTCTTCATTAACACCAAACTAGACAACCACCAAAACCTCCTTAGAAATATTATTATCCACAAGAAGCCCTGAATATGGGTCTTGTCCAGGTAAATACAGATATTGAGGTCAAGCAGTAACATGACTATCATTATTTAAGCCATAGGACTATCCTTTTGCACCAGCAAAATCTCAAGTAAACCCATAGTCACTTTGTGGTACTGATAAATTTATAGACTGAAATGGTTTGTAAGTACAGAGGGAGGTTTATTTCTTCAGCAGTCCAAGGCATATTCCATCCCGTTACCCCCACCACTCCCCTCAGAAATATTTGCTTTTTGTTCTGCATGCCACCTGCTCATGACAGTAACTGCACAATTTAATTACTTTTTGAGTAACGCGATTTAAATGCTGGATAGATTTTGTTTTGGCGTGTTTTAGAGCCAACTATAACTCTAGCCAAAAATAACTTTGATATCTTAAATCTGACAAGGAAAGTAATTTTTGAGACTTTGAGCTGGCAGGTAGCTTTGACAGTCCTTTCAAGCCCTGCGGCCTCTACTGTCAAAAGCAACAAAACCGTGGGTAAAGCATCTACCTCCAAATTGCACATCAGCCTGATTTGGGCATATATTGCCATCATTACTGGGTCAAAATCAAGGAACTTCCTTAACATCACTGTGGACCACATCAGCAAAAAGACAACACAGGCTCGATGAAAAAGGCCCATCACCAACAACTTCACAAGGTAAATAACACTTTGTCAGCATTGACCTCATCCTGTGACTATGTTTTCTTAAAAAATCATAGACGTAGATCTTTGTGGAGACCCTTATCCAGAAATTTCACCTGGATCTGAGTGTCCCAGATCATTGTCATTAGTGTTAAAGGGAAGGGAATTCCAAATGTCCTCAATTCAGAAGACCCACCCCTATTTCTGATTCTCCAATCTTTGCCAGGAGGAGCAGTGGAAATGGGAAGGGCATGACTCAAAATGATGTGCATATAGCAAAGCCATTTGAACTCAGTGCTGAGTTCAATCAGATCCCATTTTTGATGGAGCGAGAGCCTTATTGTGAAGGTGAGTTGTGATTTTCTAAAGTTGGCATAAATGCTCATAAGGTAGCTAATGTCTGTGGAACTGCCAAACTTGAAGTTATTTAAATCCCCTCCCTTTTAACTATAAAAAACGCCCATATCTGAGTTTTAAAAAAAATACTAACTATTGACTTAACATTAATGACTATAATTATGGCAATATTGCAGTTTGACTGCTTCCAAAACTTGTCATTATCACAGTGTGATGAATAGTTTGCCAGTTCTAAGTATATTGTGGAAATGAATGTCTTTGTGGAGTTGTGAAAACAAATGTTTTTAGAAAGGATCATGTAATTGATGCTATTTACATTTATTGAATGGGATTTTATCACAGGTTCCTTGTACAAATTTCAG